CGCTGCGGTGATTCCCCCGCGCCGCCAGGGGGCGCTGTGGCGCGGGCGCGGTTCCCTCAGGCCGCCATGGCGGAGATGGGGCAGAGGCTTCCTCTACAAAGCCGTGGGGCGGCCGGGCCCGTGCCCCTCCGGAGGGCGAGATGGGCTGTGGCAGGAGGCGGGCACACACCGGCTGGCAACAAAATGTAACAGAAACTGCGGGGCTGTGTGAGAAGCTGTGCGGCGGCCAGGTGGACACGGGGATTAAAGTGCAGCAAAAATCCCGAAGCGAGGCGGAAAGCAGCGCGGCTGGGCAGCGCCAGACAGGTTCCGCAAGCAGTGCCACATGGAGGTGGGAGATGCTCCCTCTGGGAAGCGACGTGGGGCTGGAGTCCCTTTCCCAGTGAGGCTGGGTGTTGGAAAGATCTTGCAGGCAAAGTCTCACCCACGATAAGGAGAAGCAGTGCTAGACAAAAACTCCTGAGTGGCAGCAAATCCTCTGGGCAGCAACTCCAGTCTGATCCTGAGAGAGCTGAGCTTCACCCCTGATCCCCAGCCAAAATCTCCCAGTACCTCTGTCCTTCCCAAGAAAACCCCCCAGCTAAAAGACTGCAGCAAACTGCACCCCTTCCCCCTGCCCTGGCCGCTTTTCCCACCATCTTTTGTCTCTCTTAAATATCTGTGTCTTGGTTTGAGACCTACCTCGGGACAAGCCATGTTCCTGTCTCTTAGGCAACAAATGGGAGAAAAATTCCTTGAGAGAAAGAAAAAGGAAAAATCCTAACATCCAACACTGGGGAAGAGGGGGAGAGTGACTTCGGGCAAGGCTTACTTCGAGGTTTGTTTGGTTTTTTTTCTTTTAAGATGCAATATCTAAACAAACATGCCTTTAATGGTTGCCTTATACATTCACAGGAGACACAAGTTTAAGCATCCCTTTATTGCATAAGCACCAAAGAAGTCATTGCTCCCCTAGAAGCAGCAGAAAGCACATGAACAAGCAAACATGTTTTTTTGATGTTATCTCCATTCATGCACTGTTTCAGAATTCCGCTTTCATTTGGAAAAAGGACTTGTAAACTAAACAGCAAAACATTTCCCTTTCCTAACAGCCTTTCCAGCCCATAGTTTCCTCATAGAGATGCTGCCTGCATTCTAGGCTGTGTTTGATTTGCTTCCTCAAAGAATGATGAGAAATGCTGTATTCCCTCAGGCCAGATGCCCATATATTTCAGTGCCCTATCCCTCATACCAGCCAGGAGCAGAGGCTCAGATAAATTTAAGGAGTAAGGTCACATTTCAGTATGGTTTTCTCTCTCTGCCAGTGGTCTGTACTCCCCACCTCCCTCAGTGACTGTCCTAATCATAAGGCAACATAATCCTGTACATTTTACACAATGTTCATTAATTTTTGTATTTTCTCATACAGACACTCCAATAAAAATGGGCAAAAAAATGAAGGGGTGGGAGGAGGGGAGGAAGGGAGGGATGAAAGGGAGCAGACAAAGATACAAAAAGAGAGCAAAACCCTAAGTGTTGCTAAGCCCTGTTAGTCAGGACAGCAAAATCTTGCATCAGGTTTATGCAAGTAAATCAAGGCTGAAACTCCACCTGCAGTGGTCTGTTGCTAAGCCTTGTTTTTATTAAGCTACAAGCTGTAAGCTCTCTGTTTGCATTGCAATGAAGGCCTCCAGAGTTAGCACTAGTCAGTACGCACTCTGTCTTAATAATATACTGCTTTTAATTCCCCACACCCATCCATTTCCCTGGCCTCCTCTCCAAACGCTGGCATTTTCCATGGCTGGTGGTCCTGAGGAAACAATCAACACCCGTGGAGCGATTTAACAACCTCTGACATAGGAACTCAGGTTTCTGCCCTTGCAATGATTTTTCCAGCCATACCTGGGAAAAAAAAATAAAAAAATATGTAATTGGAGGAGTTAGATTATGATTGAATTGGTTATGAAAACAAACTTGGTTAATCTTTGAGAGTCTTGGGTGAAGACTCTCAAAGATCCCTCTGAAAGATATGGATAAATGAAAATTATTATGAGCTCTATCTGAGCAAGCTGAGGGAAGGGGAAAAGAACAAAAAGAGCTCTGGGAGAGGAGGGAAATTTAGGGAATTAGAGCAGGAGCTGTGAGACAGGATTCCTATCTTCACCTTTCAGCTTTAGGAGAAGGACTGTACTAAATACCAAATACAGCTTCCCATCCATTGATTCCCCCTTCCTCCCTCAGTCAATAGCAGGACTGTCTTTGATCTCCTCTGCCCACTCTTCCACTGCAAATATCCTTACCAGGGACTGAGGCCATGAGCCTCCCGAGCAATCTTCTTGGCACAGCGAATATCATCCTCAATGTTATCATCTTGCAGTTCTGTGGAGATGGAAGAAAAGGTCAGTGTGGAGGAAAGTGGGGCAGAGGAAGAGCAGGGACAGACTGGCAGAAGGAAAGGTGTCCATCAGGAAGAAGGGCAGAAGGTGGATGAATCAAAGGACAGATAGAAGTGCCCGGAGCAGCTGCTAGGCAGGTGTCCTGGACAGAGCAGGTGCTTTCATGGAATGAACAAAGGAAGGTTCTGTCCTACCACTTACTTGAGCAACTGATGTGGCAGGCATTCACAGATCCAGGGGTCCTGCCATCATTGCACCAGTACTTGCTGTTGATCTGAAAGATGCCGTAGTCCCTGCTTGGACCATTGTTATTGTACGCTTTCGTGTTATAACCACTCTCATATTTCACCAGGCACATCCCTGCAGGAGGAAGAGAGATCCCAGAGGAGAGCATCAAGGTATGCTGAGGGTAAATAAGAGGAAAGATACGAAAGTATCCAGGATGAATGAGGTACTGGAGAAGTAAGCTGGTGATATCATCACCTGGAGAACTGGATGGGTAAATTCTTGAATGACAAAGCTCAAGATGGATATTTGTTGTGTGAACTATAGAAGGGAGCAAGGAGAGGGATGAGGAAGAGAAAAGATGCAGTCAAAGAAATGGAGGGGCAGAATAGTACTGCTGGAAGATCAAAAAGAAGTTGAGAGGGAAAAAGGTGGTACAGGCAGAGAGGTGCTATGGCAGCTCATTATACTTACAGTCAGCAACAGTTGTGCCCTCAAAGCCCTCAAAGCCATTCCGACGTAAGATCTTCACCATCTCACATTTGGGAATTATTCTTCCCTGGGTACCTGGCAGAGACAGGCCAAGGCAAACGAGAAAGCCAAGGAAGAGCATCGACTTTCTCATCTCGCAGTCCACAGCAAGATGTGCTAAAGCAGCTTGAGCTGTCTGACTGCCAGGACTGGCAGCAATGCCAGCCTTTTATTCCTGCCCCCAGAAGGAGGATCAGTTGGTTAAGCAATCATATCTGGGAAGTCTGGGCAGTCTTTACAGTAACAAGCCAATAAGGAAGTGGGCCAAACTCCAAAACAAATTCCTGGAAGGTGCCAGTACCTATTTCACTGGTCCTTCAAAGCTGAGGCATATGTTTTCCACAGATAATCCAGCAATCTTCAGTTGGGTATTATCCCAAATATCATGGATCAAAGGCTGTAATTCCCTTATGTGAGTGTCATGGTTTAACCCCAGCAGTCTGATAAGTCACCCAATCTCTCCCACCCTAGTGGGATGGGAAAGGTAAAAGTTAGAAAACTTGTGGGTTGAGATACAGATTAATGGGGAAAGTAAAAGCCATACGTGCAAGAAAAAGCAAAACAAAGAGGTAACACAATCCTTCCCATCAGAGGGAAGATGTTCAGCCACCTCCAGGAAACCAGGCTCCACCACCTTAACAGTGGTTTGGGAAGATAAACACCATCACTCCAAACATCCCCCTCCTCCTTTCTTCCTCCTTCTGGTTTATACTTTGAGCAGGACACTACATATGATCTGGGATATGCCGTAGTCAGCAGGGTCAGCTGTCTTGGCTGCATCCCCCATCATGGTTTAGGAATAATATTCCTCAATTTAGTACCCCCATTAAAAAGACTACCAGCAGCTCCCCTCACCCTCTGTGATCCCAGGCTGAGATAAAAAGAATTTACTGGGAACAGCAATGGGTTAAGAATTGACCATGAAAAATGTCCTTGAACACAACCTCCTATGAAGGAGGTGAAGAAGGAGTAGCCAACTTTATGTTCTTAATCCATCTTCCTACTATCCGTTGTAAAATATTTCTGAACAATAAACTACATGTGATAGAAAGAAACCTGATTTATTTTGGTTTTGTTTACATGGACTGTATATCATAAGCTATGGCAGATCACTGGACATTAACCTGAGTGGTCACTACCTCAAGGTGGTTGCCTTTGACATCAGTTTTCTTTCTCCTACTGTATACAGCAAAAAGCTCAAGAAAATAAGGATAAGAAAAAAAATCTTGAAATGTAAAAATAAGAAGAGGCAATGGTTATCAAAGACATAAAGCTAAGAAGATACACACAGCTGAGTAGCAGGAGTCTCTTTCTGATGAAGAAATAACGAAATCAGGCATTTCTGATGAAGAAATAACGAAATCAGGCATTTCTGAGGAAGAAATAACGAAATCAGGCATTTCTGATGAAGAAATAACGAAAGGTGACTGTGCTGGTTGTAGTTAATTTCCTTCCCAGTGGCTGGCATGGGGCTGTATTTTGGATTTGTGCTGAATGTAGGGATGATAATGGAGATGTTTTTGTTATTGCTGAGCAGTGGTCACACACAGCCAAGGCCTTTTCTGCTTTTCATAGTGCCAGGCTGGCGAGGGGGCTGGGGGTGCACGGGAAGCTGGGAGGAGACACAGCTGGGACAGATGACCCAAAGTGATCAAAGGCATGTCCAGACCATACCACATCACCCTCAGAATGTAAAGTGGGGGGCAGAAGGAAGGAGGGGGAGGGATGTTTGGAGTGATGGTGTTTGTCTTCTCAAGTCATTGTTACGTGCCATGGAACCCTGTTATCTGTGGGATGGCTGAACACCTGCCTGTCCGTGGGAAATGGAGTGAATTCCTGGTTTTGCTTTGTTGGCATGTGTGGCTTTTGCTTTCCATATTAAACTGGTTTTATCTCAACCCATGAATTTTCCAACTTTAATCCTTCTGATTCTCTCCCTGATCCTGCTGGCAAGGAAGTGAGGGAGCAGCTGTGTGGGGCTTGGCAACTGACTGGGGCTAAACTACAACACTGGTTGACAAACTCAGGATGCAGGGATTAAATGCCCTCTACATGTTTTCAGGTTTCTCAATCCTTGAAAGGGTCCTCTATAAACCTCCTAGAGGAGGTTTATTTCCTCCTCTAGCTCCAAAGCAAGTTCTTTATCCTTTCATGCTAACAATGCTGCCATACAGCTTTGAAGAAGGAAGTACTGAGGGTAAACAGAGTATATTTGGGAGGGGGTTGTGGATGAGGTGTTGAATAGAAGAGCTGCTTTTTTCTTCCCTAGCAGTCATAAGAGGACATTGGCAGGAGAAATCATTTCATTGCCTTTTTTTCATATTATGTCAACTGACATTGTACCTAAATTGTAGGAAATTGTGCAAAGACTCCATCTTTGCTTTGAATTCCAGAGAAGAACTGAGTCCATGCCTCTACAACCCTCTAGCTCAGTCAGGTGCTTATGGGATTCCTCTTGCTGGAAATGTTACCAAGTTTAAAATTTTTTGTATAACTTTAGTCAAGGGTTTTGTTTCCCTTTGCCCAGGTGGAAGGGAATTGAAGTTTTTTTTCAAAGGACTGATGAGTTTAACATCTCAGCAGGCTGGGGGTAGCACACAAGATACACAAAAGATAATGACCATCAACGACCATTAACAACCATCAGCTCCAAACATCACCCCTGGCACACACCTGGCCTGGGAAAAGGTAGATAAGAGATAGACAAGAGTGAGGACCTAATTATCATCAGAGGTGAAGAGATCTGGAACCAATAAGAAACCAAATACTAAGAACTGCATAACTTGGAACCAATGAACATTGAACCAATGTATCTCTATGGGTTTTGACTGTATAAAGTTTGTCAAAAATCTGGTAAAATTCATGTGTCATGGAATGATTTTCTCTGCACAGACTGGGCTATGTGGATGAAATTATTTCTGATGCACATCCTGGCCAGAATGAAGTAATTCATTGATTCTGTAACGCTAAAAATGTTGTTGGAGAGATTTTGTTTTTCCCACAGTTTCAATGACGACTGTGGTTTATTCTAGGCAAGTTTTTATTGTTTCTTGGAAAGGGATCTCCTTTACTAAGAGACTTTTAGAATGTGTTGCCTGGAGACAGTTTTTTTAGTGTAAAACTTCAGTGCTTGGCTTTACAATTGAGTAAATGGCTCTGAAATGAATGACAGGTATTACAGAATCATTAAATAACTGTGAAATATGTATTTGTTATTTTATTTGCCTTTGCATAGTCCAGAATTTGTTTCCAAGACCCATTTTATATAGAAGATTTGAATTGTTAAACAGTTTTGCACAACTTTGTGACTTGAGATTCAACTGTCAGATAAGATGTAAACTTGAAATCATTTAAGAAATGAAAAAAAAAAAGAGTCTCACATTTCCAACAATAGCTTTCCTACATTGTTTGAAGGAACAGTGGGGATTCTTTGGGGAAATGTAACACCTGAATAACTTGTAGTTGGAGCAGGGTTCACTGCTCAGCTGCTCATCCTGTGCCATAGTTTGAAGTTGGCTTCCTTGCTAGTCACTGGTGCTTCCATGTAGGATTGCTTTACTGGTCTGATTTTTAAAGGGAAGAGACAGTTACTCTCGTTAGAGATTTTGCTGCCAGGAGCTTCCCCACCATCTCAGACTTGAAGCTCAACTGAGTAGAGTGAGCTCTTTCCATATATTGATCATGTGGAAGAATATTTGTTCTCTGGGGATTTTTTTGTTTGTTTGTTTGTTTTTAATGAAATACTGAAGATGTTATCACTTAAAAGTTCTGCCTTTTTAAATTTGAGGCTCTGGGTTAAGGGGAAGAATGAAGATAATGCCATAAACAAAATTGTTAGCAGATGATAAATGGCCTACACCTGGTGAGCTAACACAAAGCTTGTTCTCCAGAGTGACTGGCCTCTGGAAACTGCACAATACCCATTGTGTAAGGAGGAGAACTGGAAGTTCACCAGCCTCAGTGTCCTGCCAACTCAGCCAGGTCACCTGGACCACTGGGGTCCACGACCACCAGGGACCACCAGAGAGACCTCCAGGACAGAAGAGCACATGTGTAAGGGGGAGGGGAAATACGCTAATGATTTTGGGGAAATTATTGTCATATGTATGTTTAGTCTGGGGCAATCGATGAATATGTATAAAAATATGGACTATAAACAGAAACTTTCCTGTACTCAGCAGGCACAGCTTTGGGAGGAGCATTCCCCCCGAGCATCCAGCCAAATAAAGAGTGCCTGCTTCTTAATGCTACATTGGTATTAAGGAGTTTTTTATTTTACTGAATTTTTGTTAATAAAAAAAATTAAATCCCTCTCCTGGATTGTCTTAAGTGACAATAAACCAGCACAAGGTTGTTACAAAGGGGTTTGCAGACAATCCCTAGCTAAAGGTCATATGCCTTAAGTCTGATGAAGAGCAGCTGAGGGAGCTGGGAAGGGGCTCAGCCTGGAGCAAAGGAGGCTCAGGGGGCCCTTGTGGCTCTGCACAAGTCCCTGGCAGGAGGGGACAGCTGGGGGGGTCGGGCTCTGCTGCCAGGGAACAGGGACAGGAGGAGAGGGAACGGCCTCAGCTGGGCCAGGGGAGGCTTAGGGTGGACATCACGAAGAATCTCTTCACTGAAAGTGTGTTTAGGCCTTGGGCAGGCGCTGCCCAGGGAGGTGTCCCCATCCTACACTTCTTTATTTACTGTTTACAGTGATCTAACAAAGGTTGAAGTACAATTCCCGGGCCCACGGCTTTATTTATTGTAGTCAATAGTGCTAGGCTCTGGCACCAGTCAGTCTCTCAGTACACATCCACAGTCAAGGAGTGGAGGTTCACACGCATTCCCCCATTGTCTTAAACCCTGGACTTGTGGCTTCCACTCTGTTTCTGGGATAGGACACAAATACCACTGTGCCAGGGGTTTGGAAGAGATGGGTTGGAAACAACTGGTCATAGAACTATGGAACCATGGAACCATGGAACCATGGAGCCATGGAACCATAGAACCATGGAACCATAGAATCATGGAAGCATGGAACCATAGAACCATGGAACCATGGAACCATGGAACCATAGAACCATAGAATCATGGAACCATGGAACCATGGAACCATGGAGCCATGGAACCATGGAACCATGGAACCATAGAACCATGGAACCATGGAATCGTAGAACCATGGAACCATGGAACTATAGAACCATAGAACCATGGAACCATAGAACCATGGAACCATAGAACCATGGAACCATAGAACCATAGAACCATGGAACCATAGAACCATGGAACCATGGAACCATAGAACCATGGAACCATAGAACCATGGAACCATGGAACCTCTGACATGGAAGGGACACCTTACACCTCTTCTGTCCTGCCTACCCCTCCTGAAGGGCCTGTAACTGTCCAGAAGAAACAGATAAGGAACCTTTGGGTAAAGAACCTTCTTTTTCTGAGTGAAGAACCTTCTGGGTGAAGAACCCAGAACATGGTCAGGTACTGAAACAGGTTCCCCAGAGAATTGGCTACAGCACCAAGGCAGCTGTCAGACACATGGTGCGGTTGTTGGGGTGATCCTGTGCAGGCCCAGGAGTTGCAGGATTTGGACTCGATGATCCTTTTGGGTCCCTTCCAACTCAGCAGATTCTGTGACTCACCCAGAAGGTGTTTCACCCAGAAGGTTCTTTACCCAAATGGTTCTTCACTCAGAGGGTGGAACAGGCTTCTTAGGGAACTGGTTATGGCACTGAGCCAGCTCTCAGACACATGGTGTGGTTGTTGGGGCTGTCCTGTGTAGGTCCAGGAGTTAGACTTCATAATCCTTGTGGTTCCTTTTCAGCAGAGGGGATTAAATGATTCTCTAATTCCTAATATCTTACCTAAAACTCACCTGACACAGTCCCACATTCATCCTCTAAAATCAACACTGGGTTACCACATCATTCCCCCCATTTCCCTTCTTCCCCCTGCCCTTTCTTCCTCTTTTGTGTTTTCTTCTTTATTTATCTTGGCCCTGGGTTGAGTCTTTCTGGCTTGCCATCTTTCCATGAACCTTCACTCGGTAAATGCAGGTATACCACGGGTTTCCCCAGTTGCTCTTCACAAGAAGTTTGACATGTGAAAAGGCTCTGGGGAGCAGCATGTTCTGTGAAGAGGGAAAAGGGAGGCGTTAAAAGCACAGTGAAATCAACACGTCTTACCCCACCAGCCCTGTTTCTGCTCAGGAACAAGATCCCAAACGTAGCTGGGAGAAGCAATAGAGATCTGAAACTCGCTGCTGGTACTGGGGCTGCTGCGGAGGCTGGGGGCAAGGGAAGGCTCTTGGCATCCTCTGCATGCTGGCCCTGCTGGGGCTGCACCTCCTTTCCCTCTGTCCCTTGCTTTATCTTGACAGAGGGGCTGGGGACGTGCTTCTGTGCATGGGGCTGTGTGTCACCCCCTAGTGTGTCACTCCCCCCGGTGTGTCGCCCCCTAGTGTGTCACCCCCCCCGCCCCGGTGTGTCACCCCCCTG